TGTGTGTGTGTGTGTGTGTGTGTGTGTGTGGCCAGCTCAGCCCACCAGGGGGCGGGGCTGGCTGGCATGTGGTGCTGGGGGGATTGAACAGCTGTCCCTGTGCTTTGCTAAGCTTGTTCTAAGTAGGTGCTTTAGACCACTGAGCCATCTCACCAGCCCCCATTTATTTATTTAAAAAAATTTATTTATTTGGTACTGGGGATTGAACTCAGGACCCTCCGCTTGCTAGGCAGATGCTTATTCTACTGAGCTATCTCCCCGGCCCTATTTTTTAAATTGAGACAGAGTCTCAACTGTATAGTTCAGGCTGGCTTCAAACTCACAGCACTCCTCTTGCTTCAGCCTCCCAAGTGCTAGGATTACAGGTGAAAGCCATCAATCCCAGCTTAGGGAACAGTTTTTAAAAGACAAGGTCTCACTATGTTGAACTAGCTATACCCAAACTTCTGGGCTGAAGCAATCCTTTCACTTGAGTCTCCTAAATAGCTGGGATTACAGGCATGTGCAAACATGCCCAACTTATTTCTAGGAATACCCTTAAATGAAAGAGTCATTACTGTACTGCAGAGATGCTTACCTGCCTGAGGAGAGTTCTGAGATTTGAAAAGACCAACAACTCCCTTCCCATGGAATCCTCCAGATCGAAGGAGCAGAGTACCACTTCTCGAGTTCTTCCAACATACAACAGGCAAGCGATTGTGTCGATAGCAGCGGGCTACTCTTGGTAAACTAGTGTCTTGTACAGCTTGAGGTATGACTAAAAGGCCAGGATAGCTTCAGAGACATGGAAGGAAGAGAATGATTGGAGTAGAAGGGGAAAAAAATGGGGAGAGAAATGGGGGAGGGGGAAGGAAAAGAAGAAGGAGGGGGTAAGAGAAGAGAGACAGGCAGAGGAAGGAAGAAGAGAGAATATAAGGATATTAATGACATAATATCACAATTTTATAAGACTGAGAAGCACACTGGTGGAGGAGTAAGAAATACATTTTAAACACAACTTTATTGTAACTCCTTGGTTCTTCGGAGTTGAGAAAAGGTAGAAACAGTTAACTTATCCATCACTGTGCAGTGTTTTTTGAAATGAGTCCCTTTGAGTGATATGACTAATTTTTGCTGAATAATCAAAGCTTATAAAATAAATACATTGAATTATTTAAAAAGCTTTTGTGGAACTGTTTCTCTTGCCTTATGCACTACTTTTCTTCAACTTAAAGATCCGTGGATTAATGTCAACTTTATGAAAATGTTGAGTTAAATTATCAACAACTCATCGATCACTGAAATGATAACACAGAACAAAGCACAGGAAGATGCTACATAGTTCAGGCTGGCCTGAGTTCACTTTGGAACTCATGCTGGCCTCCAACTTGTGGTGATTTTCCTACCTCAGCCTCTGAAGTGCTGGAATTACAGGCAAGCACCGCTATGCCCAGATTAATATCTTTTGATGTATTTAATTTCTGATGGGGGGGGTTCAGTGCTCGGGAGGCTGTAAACAGGAGGATCACTACGAGTCCAATCTGTGTAATGATGGGGGGTGGTGAGGGTAGAGTCTTGCTTTGTAGTGCAGGCTGGCCTTGAACTCATTATGCATCCCAGGCTGGCCTTGAACTCAAAGCAATCCTCCTGCTCCAGTCTCCCCAGTGCTGGGATTATAGGCATACACTACCATATCTGGCTTCTGATCTTAATTTATCAATTTTTTATTCTATGGACAATGCTTTTCTTGTCCAAAAAAAAAAAAATGATCTTACTTCAATAGATAAAGGTATTTTCCTGGCTTCTAGAAGCTTTATTTATTTGTTATTACCATTTATATAGTGGTTTACAGACCCATGGGAATTGATTTTTGAGGGTCAAGATTAATCCTCCCATACATTTCCAGCACCATTTACTGAACACAGGATCTTCTATCCGCTACTTTTAAGTGCAATCTTTACCTTGAAGTGTCTATACACATGGGCTGTTGCTATATTTCCTTTTGTGCACCACTGCTTGGCCTGTCTACCCTTCTGTTAACTACACATGGTGTTTCAATCACTGTAGCTTGATTAAAAAGTCTTGATATCCTGTAGTATTATTTGTAAAGTCATCTTGGTTAATTTTGCCCTTGTGCATTTGTATATAACTCAGAATAATTTTTTGAATCCTGTAAATATCTTGCTGGGATTTTGATTGAGACTTTATTGAATCTGAAGATCAATTTCAGGAGAAGCTACAGTTATTAGAATTTTGGGTATTTTAATCTAAAAACATGAAATAGCTATTTACTTAGATATTTAATGACCTTCAATGTTGCTTTAAGTGTTCATATAGAGATCTTGCCTATCTTTCACTGGATTTATTTTTATATTTAATGTTTCTTAGTGCTACTGTAGTAGTGCTTAGTGCTAAATAGTATCACAGAAAATAAGTAGTATCATTTAAAAAATTTTAATTTTGTAATTTTTGGTTTTGGAATATATGTAACTATGTACCAGTGGCAACCAAATTTACCTAAGATTTTCTACATGCACATTCAGGTCATCTGTGAATAGGGAGTTTTATTTTTTCTTTTCAATCTTTACCCTTTTATTTTTCTAGCCCCACCCCTTTTTCAGTATCTTGAGCATGCTAGGGAAGTGAATTACCACTGATTATACTCCTAGCTCTTTGTTTATTTATTTAATTTTGAGACAGAATCTGGTTAATTGTCTGGCCTGGCCTAGAACTTGCAATCCTGCCTCAGCCTCAGTGCAGCTGGAATTACAGGCATGTGCCACCATGCTTGTTTTTTTTTTTTCTAGTCCTTTTGTGTTGTCTAGGACTTCAAATACATCACTGAATAGAAGCAGCGATAGTACACATTCTTTTTCATTCTGACCTCAGAAAAAATATCTTTTATTAAGCAATTTTCAGATTTTTAAGAAACATACCAGATAAGCATCTATCTCTTTACTTCAATTTTTTTTTTTTTTTTGTGGAACCAAGGATTGACTTCAGGCCCTTGCACTTGTCAGGAAGTGCTTATTCTGAGTTATCTCTCTGGCCCCCTTTACTTCTAATTTTGATCTGAGTTCTTTTTAAAAGTTTACAAATGTATATCACTGAAAACATACCCATGCTACCTTTCAAATATCATTTTTTAAAAAATTTAGTACAGAGTCTATAGGGTCTCACTACACAGATCAGACTTGTAGTGATCCTCCTGTTTTCAGCCTCCCAAACGCTGGGATTATAGGCAAGTGCCACCACGCCCAGTCTCAGTCCATCTCAACATGCCCCAGGGGCAGAGCTGGCATGGCATGTGGGGCCGGGGGTCCAACCCTGGTCCCTGTGCTTTGCCTAAGCAGGGGCTTTAGTCTGCTGAGCTATCTGGCTGGCCCTTCAAATATCAATAATGTTCTGTATTTCTGTAATAAATTCTACTTGGTCTTAATGAATTTCTGTGTATGAAATGAATCTATTATCATCCTTCTATATGCTGGTAATTCTTTTTATTTTAAAATCTACTTTGCCATTTATATTGATGACAACAGCTTTTGTTTTATTCTTTTAGTTTTGCATAGTATTTTTTTCAATCCTTTTATTTTTCATTTTTTTGCATTCTTATATATTAGATATGTCTCTTGAAAGTTGTGAAAAACTTAAAACATACACACCCTGATAATCTTTCTTTTTTTTTTTT